AAACTAGCAATTTGTTCAAAGATTTATTTGTATCTTATAAAGTAACGTATTTTTTATTCAGATCGTGGATGACGTGTTCGTGTTAGCCAGATCTAACATCTTGTCTTACACGAGAGCGTTGAACATTCTTTCTTTCCTCGAATTTGAAGACAAGTACGCTCCTTGGGCAGCTGCTATTCCTGGATTTAACTTTGCGCTTCGGAGATTGGCTCACGACGATAATGAGCGTGAAAACTTAAAGGTAAAATCTATTTAAGATACTAAATAAAAAAAGTAATGTTAAAACGGTCTTATAAATATTGTTTAACAGAACATAACAACACGCTTTTATTCCCGAAGGGCTAGGCAGAGGTGCACACAAAAGTAACACCCACTTTTCACTATTTATGTTATGAGTCCCATGTAATAGGAAGTGAGCGCCACAATTACAGACTCCGTGCTACTACTGAGTTTGTTTTAAAAACCCAGTAATACTTTGCCCGACCGAACCCGAGACCCCTTGCCCGGCAGTCACACTTACGACCACTCGGCCAACGAGGCAGTCATTAAGGGTTTAATTAACTTTTATTCTGCATTTAGAACATCATCTTTCAATCGAGCACGGCGATTGTCCAGCGTCTCGGTTTCAACGAGGGAGCCAATAGTCCTTTCATGGATGACTTGCTTCGTATGCATGTGATGACCTTCCTTTGCAATGCTGGACACGAGCAATGTTCCGAAGCAGCCACACAAAGCTTCCAAGCATGGAGATTTAATGGGACAAGGTAAGAATCGCATAATTACATTTATTATTATTTAAGTAAATAAATTGACGCTTTAAAAAATATATTTATTAATCAAATAGCAGAGTCAACCAGATGAACGCAACATAATATGTATTATATAATACGGATAGTACGGGTTCACTAAGGGACGCTGCACGACTGATGCCGGGGTAGCACTAATCAAGCGGGTTTTTGCCTCGTGGGAAGAAGCACGGGATGCCATCGGAATATTTTGCGATCTTTCGAAGGCATTCGACTGTGTTGAACACGAGACACTATTGCTGAAGCTAGAACACTACGGCATTCGGGGTGTATCGCTGAATCTGTTAAAGTCATACCTTCAGGATAGGCAACTTAAAGTTCAGTAAATAAAGTAAACTCACAGGGTGCTAGCATGTCTATAGGCGGACCGCAGGGCTCAATACTAGGTCCATTCCCATTTTTAACATATATAAATGATTTGCCCTATTTATTTCTAAATGAACCACATATTGTATTATTTGCTGATGACACATCATTAGTTTTTAAAATAAATAGACGAACAAATAATTATGACGACGTAAATAATGCTCTGATGAAGGTTCAACATTGGTTTACAATAAACAACTTAGTGCTAAACGATAAGAAAATGAAATGTATTAGATTTGTTTTGCCAAATGTTAGAAGTAACGTATGTGACATATTATGACATTCCTGGGAATTACTGTAGATGACAAATTGCAATGGGGTCCTCATTTTACATCTTTAGCGGGACGATTAAGCTCTGCAGCTTATGCTGTCTGGAAGATCCGACAGTTAACCGACATAGACACGGCAAGACTAGTGTACTTCAGTTACTTGCATAGCATCATGGCGTATGGCATTTTGCTGTGGGGACACGCTGCTGACATTGAGTCTATCTTTATCTTACAAAAGCGCGCCGTCAGAGCTATTTACAACCTAGGTCGTCGCAAATCTCTCAGAGAAAAGTTTAAGGAGATCAATATTATGACCGTTTCATATCAATTTATTTATGAAAACATTATGTATGTTAGGAAAAACCTACAGTTGTTCGGTAAAGTATCTGACAGACACCACTATCAAACTAGACATAAGGATAGATTAAGTCAGCCACTATTTAGATTGTTAACAGTACAAAAGTCCTTTATGGGATTCTGTATTAAATGCTATAATAAAATTCCGGAGGAAATACAACACTTAAATGAGTCAAAATTTAAATTATATGTATATTAAAAAAACGTTATGTGGAAAAGTATATTCGACTGCACGGTTGATGCGGTGGCTGGGCAACCGGCTGCCGTGCAACGTGCCGCGGGTTCGATTCCCGCACGGAACAACACTTTGTGTGATCCACAAATTGTTATTTCGGGTCTGGGCGTCATGTGTATGTGAAATTGTATGTTTGTAAACGCACCCACGACACAGGAGAAAATCCTAGTGTGGGGCAACGTTTTTTTTTTTTTTTTGCACAAGGAGATCCTTTTTCTCCTTTGCTGTTTAATATAGCTACAATCAATATTTGTAAAAAGATAAATAATGTTAGTATTTCTCAGTTCGCAGACGATTTTGTATTATATTTTACTACCCATAATATTTTAGAAGCAAAACATGAACTACAAATAGCTTTGGATCAATTTAACAAATTAGTGGAAAACATCGGTTTAAATATTTCATCAAGTAAAAGTAAAATATGTATATTTAAAAACGGATTTAAGAAAGATATTATTAAAATTAATATAAATAAAAGTACTCTTGAAGTAGTTGACACATATAAATATTTAGGATTATGGCTGGATCGTTCTCTAAGATGGTCCAAACATATAAATGAGCTGAGAGATAAGATGTCGAAATTTCTTAATGTGTTTAAAATACTGGCTGGCCCAGGATGGGGAGTACACCCGACTCATTTGCGACGGTTATATATTGCCATTATACGTAGCAGATTAGATTACGCGAGTTTTTTATACCACAACAGTTGTCAAACTAATCTTCATAAATTATCTAAAATACAGAATCAATGTCTGAGGGTCATTGGGGGTTTCATAAAAAGTACACCCATACATGTGATGGAATGCGAACTTCATATACAGCCGTTGCATATTCGCAGATATTACTTAGCTGGCAAATGGTATTTGAAGCTAAAGTCTTTTATAGGTGATAACACCTGTGAAATTATCAACACCCTATACAATAACTGCCAAGGTACTCAGTGGAGACGCAAAAAAATACCACTCTTAGTTCACATATCTGATATATTTAGTAACACAGTTGTCGATGTTGATTGTCATAGCGAATTGGGATTATTCTCGCTGAACACGTGGATAAGCAGTGTGAACTTGTTCTGTATGATTAACCCGCATATTGAAGAGATTACAGAAGCTAAAAAATTATACAATATTAATCATCTTCGAAGTATTTGCTATGAACATTTTAACACAAATTACTCGGGATATTATACTTTATATACAGATGGATCTAGAATAGGAGATGCGGTTGGTGCGGCATTTTATGATCCTCAAAATAACATAACTTGTAAATTTCAACTTAACCCAAAAATATCGACCATGCACTCGGAATTAGTCGCAATTTGCGAAGCTGTGTCATATCTTGATTCTATTAATTTTAATAATTGTGTTATATATTCGGACTGTAAAAGCGCACTCCAACATTTACTTAAATGTATAAAGAGTAACGGTTATCCTGTAGCATACAAAATTATAGATAGTATGGTTAAGCTTAGGAACAGGGACAAACACATTGTATTACAGTGGTTGCCCTCCCATATCGGCATTAAAGCAAATGAGAGGGTAGATAGTCTGGCTAAAGAAGCTTGTTTTGACGGTATCCCAATGACACATAAACCGCATTGGACGGATGTTTTAAGAGAAGTTAAATTAAAATGTTACGATAATTGGAATGAATATTTTGACGAAAAGTCGTTGACCAAAGGCATTTGGTATCGCACGATGCGACCGACTGTATATACGTTCCCGTGGTTTGATAATGCCAATATGAGCAGGCAAGAAATTGTGACGAGTTTGAGACTTCGCTCCGGACACATTCCATTAAATAGTTTTGCTGCAATGATGGGTAAAGTAGTGTCACCAAATTGTACGGAATGCGATATTGTTGAGGACGTGTATCATATCATAGTGGAGTGTGTCCGGAATGATGCAGATAGATGTCGGATACAAAGAGAATGTAACATAGATTTTCGTGAATTTGGAATATGTAATTCAAGTCTAGCCTTTCCAACATCTAATTCTGCTAAGATAATTTACAAGTTAGTTCATTTAGGAATTAAACGTAGATTGTAAGTTTCCAATGTTAATATTTCTAGTGTTCCTATGAGGATGACATGTTCGTTATATGAACAAATCCTCAATAATCAATAAAGAATTAAAAAAAAAAAAAAAAAATAACATAAAAAAAATATTATAAACTTAATGATTACATAGAGGATAAAAATGCTTGAAGGCAGGCTGGTCCGGCTCCACAGTATAACGAAAAACATTGATGTTCCAATGAGTTCCAATAATGCAATAATACAGCCATTTTGTTCAAATATAATTATACTGACAAACTTTATATAATTATTGTAAATGTGAGATCCCTGTAACTAACTAAATTAAATTAGACTAGTAGAATGCATGTGTGTCAGTCAGCTTGGAGTTGTCATGCTCACTCAAAAGTCTCATTGGTAGGGGTTCGTGGGCAGTGGATCGCTCGATTCCCTACAACATGGTTGAGTTGGGCGGTGCTGGTGTACGTGTCATGTTCGTGAACGAGCGATGTCAAATGGGAGTGGTCAGCTCATCGTGGTTATTTTTTTTTCCGTCTTCTTGACTAAATATTGGTTTTACATTGTTCTCACATTATTGAACTCAACGAAAGATTGTAACCAAAAATTGTATTGTGAACATCATTCAACATCGTTCTTCTCCATAGGAATCTACACTTCATAACGAGCAAATAGCTTCACTAGAGGACTGACCTACAGACTGACATTTTTTCTTGTTATTTAATATTTAATTATTGTGATTTAAATGTTGTTTTAACGTTCAAAGTGCCTTTCTGGTCTTATTGAAATAAATGATTTTGACTTTGACTTTGACTTTAATAAATTGTTCATAGAAATTGGACCATTGTAGACAGAAAAAATAACTTCATTTTATATTGAAACTGATAAATTTAATTAGTAGCACCGGCGGTCCAGTCATTCGCGCGTGATGCAATGTTACGATTAGATGTTAATAACAATGATGTATTTTTTACTTTTCAGAATTCCGCCAAATATGCGCCCTTGGGTATATTGCGGTGGCCTGCGTAATGGAAACGAGGCAGATTTCGACTATTTCTGGCGACGTTATTTGGCTGAAGACCTATCTAACGAGAAAGTTGTGATGATCAATGCAGCCGGTTGCACAGGAAATGAAAATGCCTTACACAAGCTCCTCAACACAATCGTTGACACAACGGGAACACAAGATATCAGACCACAGGACTACAGCGCTGCTATTAGCTCAGCTGTCAGTAGCAATGAATACAATACCATGAGAGTATTTAGGTGGCTTAGGAATAATCCTCAACATCTGGAACATGAGTAAGTATTATATATTAAATAGCTGGTTAGACACATATATATTATGTTTTATATACATAAGTAGATAATTTAAAACAGCATATGGTATTAATTTTATTTATGAAAAGTAATGGAGAAGTTTCTCACTTGTATTTCCCTACAGCTATTTTTACTAATGGTAATAATGGTTTGACGTTTCAAAATGGCAAAAGCTTTCACAGACCTTGCTATAGTATCTACATCTCGCGTCCGGGCCTAGTGCAGGCCATGATGCGGAGCGAGGGGGACTGGGATGCCGTCTCCTCCTTTTGCGAAGCAGTCATGCTTGCTAAGGAGGAAGCGGGACGCGTGAGGCAGCGAAGCGCTGCCTCCTCGCAACCCAGCCATCGCGAAGGACACACCGGGCGTCGGGGATCGCGGGACGATCTCCGGCCACCGTAAGCGCGGGCCTGCGGACGGCGAGCATGGGTGGCTCCCCGTCCGACCAGAAACAGACCCGAGCGTACGGCGCGTCGCGTTCCGCGCGCGCCTCAAACAGTCATCAGACCACCACAGACGGGGCTCAATAGGGCCGATGCCGATTTGGAGTCGCGGAGAACCTAACGGATAACCGGGGCTCCGGCTTGACGTGCAGGAGAAGGAACGGGGTGGTTTTTAGTCAGTAAGAGTCTGACACTCCCTTCCGCCTCACCCAGGCGGGAGCAGTCATTCGAAGATTTTCCCCCCTTAAAAAAAAAATAGTATTTATATCTATATGTAGATACAATAATACTGTAAAAGTGTAAATTCTGTACAATATTTAAAAAATAAATAGTAGGCGGTGTCACAAGATAGACAAAAATGATTAAAAAATCCCGCTGTACACAGGGTTTAAATTTAATTTGTTTTTTTGTTGCAGAAATGGCAGATCTCTTTTACAAGTAGCAACAAACCGATTACTGAATGAAGCACAAATCGCTGAGGTAAAACTAAACTAAGTATAGCCCCAACGAACAAAGTGTGGCTGCAATATTATAACGGTTAGCGCAGCAGCTACAGCAACAGACTGCTGCGCAACGTGATCCGGGTTCGGTTCCCACACAGAAAATCTTTTTGTGATCCATAAATTGTTAATTCGGGTCTGGCTGTGATGTGTATGTGCCAATTTGTATGTTGATAAACGCATCCAAAACACAGGAGCAAATCATAGTTTAGGGCCACGCCAAAAATTTTATTATTATACGCATCGCCAGTTATATTATATGCTAGCGACCCGCCCCGACTTCGCACGAGTGCAATATGTATGTATTATACATATAAACCTTCGTTAAGAATCACTCTACCTAATAAAGAAAATCGCATCTAAATCCGTTGCGTAGTTTTAATGATCGAAGCATACACAGGGACAGACAGACGACGGATAGCGACTTTGTTTTACCTCTACCTCTATACTATGTAGTGATTCAACACCAGACACACTGATGCAATTTGTCTTCTATAAAATATATGTTACCAGAGAGTGTTGATCATATTGACAGTTTTGAATGTTGACATCTTGCAGTTGAACTTGAAAATGGGGCAATTAAATAAATCATTAGAATTTACATAATTAGTTATTATTATTCAAGACTGTGTAATAATAACGTGGAATTGCACTGTTTTAGGTCGAATCCTGGTTGACCTCGGCTACTCCTCCCCCAGATGCTGCAATTACTGTGGCTAGAGACGGCATTGCTACATCAAGGGCTAACATGCAATGGTATAGAAGAAGGTTACCGGAGTTCGCAGAATACTTCAGAACAGGATATTTTGAAGAAGGGTTTGAATTACCCGGTCCTGAACCTTCCACTCCGCCTACTACTATCCCTGAACCTACTACTACCGAAGAACCTACTTCTACCGATGAACCTACTACTACCGATGAACCTACTACTACTGATGAACCTACTACTACCGATGAACCTACTACTACCGATGAACCTACTACTACCGATGAACCTACTACTACCGAAGAACCTCTCTTTGACCCTACCACGGACCCTCCGACTACCCCTGAACCCGACTCTGCAAATATTGTCTCTCTCAGCTTCTTCACTTTGATAGTCACACTTATCATCAACATGGTTTAAATATAAGGACGTATTAATAAAGACTTTCAATAAAATGAACACCTAGTTAATTAAGGTGTGATAAGTAAACACTTTTGCCCAAGGTTGTTACTCAGTAATATTCAGTGGTTGTTGTTTTTTAATAATAAAGTAGTAATTTGTATTTTTTTATGTAGCTACGTATCATATTTTGGATTAATATACATATTTGGACATCATCGACCTCGTTGTTTTAATGCCCTTAGATATTAATTTATACGTAAATATATTAATTTGTATTGTATACATACTTTTGTATACATATACATAATATGAAAAACGATGAAATATGATAAGAATTACGCAATTTTATTCGTAATTAAAATAAAGGACATTGCATGTCTAATTAGCACCACTCCGGCGCAGCTCCGGCTCAGTTCCGGCACGGCGTTGTTTCTAATTTGCCTACCACTAGCCGCCAGCGCTCTGGTGGTGGAAGCTTTTTGACACCACGAGTATTTATTTTTATTTATTTAAACTTTATTTTCAGGCAACTATGGCCCACAGATACCTTACAGACTAACATAAATATTTTAATATACAATTGATGTTAGTGAATAAACTTAGGCCTATGTTAGTCGCATTCACTGTCAACAATAATTATATACGATGCGAAGCTGTTGCGCTCGCGACTCGCGAACGGCGTGCCCGCGCCGTAAGCATGCCGCCCGCACGCTGGCGCCGAGCGGACACCTCAACTTCAACTCGAGAGGACCACGTACTGACCACGCGCCGTCGGCTTTTCGACATACGATTTAAGATTCATATTAAAATGACAAGTTAATCGCTAGGTTGGAGCCGTGTTTGTTAGGTGTGCGATTTTTGAGCTTAAGCTATGACATAAGGTTGAAATGACATAAAAACTAAGGGTGTGCCAATATCGTGTGATTTTAACTTCATATTTTCTACATAAAATATTTTAGTATGACTTAAAAATAATATTCCACACTTAAATCTTACTAATACTATAAAAACGTAAGTATTTGTCACTCGTAAAGAGAATAGATTCATATTCCAGAGGAGTATAGGCATTATGAAATGAAATGAAATCAAATAAAATGATATGATATAACGTACATTGTCGTTGTCGAGTGTAGAAATTGACTGTACGGTTGGGGCGGTGGCTGGGCAACCGGCTGCCGTGCAACGTGTCGCGGTCCGATTCCCGCACGGAACAACACTTTGTGTGATCCACAAATTGTGGTTTCGGGTCTGGGTGTCATGTGTATGTGAACTTGTATGTTTGTAAACGCATCCACGACACAGGAGATAATCCTTGTGTGGGGTAAGTTATTTTAAAACAAACAAAAAATTCTTTTTTATCGCATTTTTAAGTCATTGTACAGCCTGTTACTGATTTCTTAGTTATAGCTGTTAATTAGCTGTTGCCCTGAGCTTTAGGAAGAAACATATTTCTTGTTTCAATTTTCAAAAATAAAAGTAGCATAATGCCTATGTTACTACTTAAAAGTCCCGTCAAAATCGGTCTAGCCATTTCAGAAATAAGCATAATTTACAAAAAATAGACAGACCGAAAAAAATTTAAAACAATGTTATTTTGGTACCTATAAGTAGGTACCTTTCGTATGTATATTCCTATGCCTGTAGTAAAAGCGGTTATCTCTTTCAATATTATAAAGGGATACTTCAATTTTATTAATCTGTATGTACGGTTCTATTAACTATAATAATATAATTTGTGGGTCCATTAACATATACATTTTTCAGCTATGTCTATCAACTAGCACTTTTCCGAAATCACTCAAAAAATCAATGATTACACCAGTTTTCAAATCGGGAGACAAAACTAGTGTCACTAACTACAGACTCATCTCAATACTAACTGGTCTCTCAAAGTTATTAGAAAAAAAAAATTAATAACAGACTGGTAAAATATCTTGAGGGAAGGAAATTGCTTTCTGACAACCAGTTTGGCTTTAGACCAAAGAGATCAACTAACCAAGCGGTGCATGGACTTACTAACTATATTACCACTAATCTGGACAATGGCATGTATACTATTGGTATCTTCTTGGACCTCACCAAGGCATTCGACACAATTTCTTGTTCCATACTATTGCGGAAACTTGAATCACTTGGGATCAGAGGAAAGCAGTTACTTCTTTTCTCTGAGTATCTGTCCGACCGTTACCAGTCTGTAAAGATCGACCAATACAAGAGTAAAGAAGTTAAAAATAGTTCTTATGGAATACCACAAGGAAGTATATTGGGACCTACACTATTTCTAATTTATATGAATGATTTATGTGAATTATCAATTAAAAACGGCATTGTAATGTCCTATGCGGATGATACAGCTCTTGTATTCTCCGCTAATACATGGGAAGAGCTCTACATATAAAAAGGATTCACCGCTGTAACTATTTGGCTTTCTAAAAATTTATTAACACTAAATGCAGATAAAACTAAATATATCATGTTTACAATGAGAAACCATAACCTATATATGACTAATATAAATATTAATGCACACAAATGTACTACTCTTGGTGACTCAGCATGTACCTGTTCCGCTCTTATCAAAACTGATTTTATTAAATACCTCGGTGTTACGCTTGACGCAAATTTAAATTTTCGCAAACATATAGATTTATTATGCACAAGAGTACGTAAATTAATGTATGTATTTAAAATTTGCGCAATATAGCTGACTATGTAGAGGTATTAATTAAACAAGTATATTTAGCTTTGTGCCAATCCATACTAACATATTGCATAACATCATGGGGAGGTGCCGCTAAAGCAATAATGCTTCCACTAAAACGTGCACAGAGGGCCTCAAGGATGCGACATTTCGCCCTTTTAGATTTCCTACTCACGAACTCTACAAGACATGTAAGGTTTTTACGGTACGGCAATTAAGTATATTAAACATCGTTCTTCTTCAACATTCGGAACTCACCTATGACCGTGAAATTTTAGTAAAGAAAAAGAATAATCTGGTCTGTCAAACTAGACAAACTAAACATGCCTATTGATATTACGTCTTTCTCGGACCGTTTTTGTACAATAAGTTAATAAATCTTGTAATGTATACAACCTTAGTCATAAGAAATGTTGTGACACGTTGACGGAGAACTTGCTTAAATTAAATTATAATGACACAGAAAAACTTTTAGATGTAGTTAATTAGTCTATAAGATCAATTACTTTAAGTAGGTCACATACATAGTTTAATTTGTTTTATAATTTTTAAATTTTATATAGTTGATAATATAAACCTGTATAGATTTAACATCAATAGTAATAAAGTGATGACTTGAAACACAGGTTGCATAAACATAGTTCAAGCAAATCGCGACAAATATTAGTATTAGTCCTATTATTTTTCTGTCCATAGTTTTAAGCAAAATGATGTATTATTATTATCTAGTTAATAGTCTAGCATAATTTTACTTTAATATAGTAATTAAAAAAGAAATATATTGTAAGTGGAGTACATACAAATAAGTTATTCTATTATTCTAGACTAACTATGCTAACGGCCCATTAGTAGTAGCACGGAGTTTGGAACTGTGTCCGGTATATGGCAATAGGCTCACCCCTATCACATGGGACTCATAACGTAAATAGTGAAAAGTGGGTGTTACATGTTATGTTATGTTATGTTATGTGTTACTAACGGCCCATCTTAATCCAATATCCCTGAGTTAAGTTCGATTTTTGACAATTTGTTGTTTATATCTTTATTTATTTATTTATATCAGAAAACAGCTAATTTAATCTTCACAGGTACTTAGCCTAATACGACAAAATTAGTTACATAATATAAAATTTCAAAATTCAAAATTACATTATACATACGAAAGTTACATTATACATAAGAAATCTAAACATAATATCACAAAAAAGAAAATACCACTACTAAAGTTTTAAATACTAACAATACCATAGGTGGCTCTTGTGAACTCATTCAGCGAACAAGTAAACAAATCGACCCTACTCGACACTGCGTTGAGCGTGCGCAAGGCGCGCGTCAGTGGCGCTCGCTGCAGCAGGTTGGTGCGCGCGCTCGGCACCGCCAGCAGCTGCGGCCGCCGCCGCCTACCCACATACCCATCCGGCACACACATGCGTAGCTCCATAAGGATTTTAGAGTTAACTAATTTACCTCGCAACACTTTAAATAAATAAACAGCCAGTGCCACTTCCCGCCTAGTCTCCAGTTTGAAGTATCCCACCATACCCAACACAAATAATGTTGGGTATAATAGAGGATAGCCGGGGTATACCTTATATATTTTTGAATTCAAAAATCGGGTGAATTTATTTTGTATAATTTTTGTTGTTTGTTTGTTTCGGGTTGTTTTTTATAGAATTATGCGGCAAATAAGCAGACGGATCACCTGATAGTAAGCAATCAGCACATCAATGAACATCCAAGGCTGACACAAGTACGTTGAAGGCTTACTGGGAGTTAGTCACTTGAGAATGGAGGCTTAAAGTTATGATTTTAGGAGTGGACCCTTTTTATATAAAAATGGTATTTATGGTATTTATAGGACTGCCTCATTGGCCAAATGGTCGCAAGTGCGACTGTCGTGCAAGAGATCTCGGGTTTGAATCCTGGGTCGGGTAAAGTATTACTGAGTTTTTAAAAAAAAATCTCAGTAGTAGCACGGAGTCTGGAATTGTGCCCGGTATATGGCAATAGGGTCACCCTCTATTACATGGGACTCATAACATAAATAGTGAAAAGTAGGTGTTATATTGTGAAATAAAGTAAGCGCCTACGTAAATATGATCAGCAAGTGACATAACGAATTTATTAATTATTAATAGGCGCAGTGAATTTATACTACAAGTTCATAATAATATAATTTAATCATATTTAGTTCACATTTGATTATATAATACCAACGTATTTTGTAATATATTATCTATAATTACTTGTAAAATACTTCGTAAATAATGTTAACGTAGTAGGAGAAATAAAGACAAATTGTAGTACGAAAATAATTATGATTTTTGTTACAATATACTTTCAATAGCTCTCAACGCAAACATGTATTATGAAACTATCCTATTAGGGGGACAGAGACCATGAAACACCACATGACAGGATTCTGACATACATATTCGCTTCATTTACATGCAACTATCTCTTAATGCAGACGGATCACTTGATTGTACACAATTGGCGTCGCCCATGGACATCTCAATCGCCAGAGGCGTTACAAGTGCATTACCAGCCTTTTCAGAATTGGGAAGTTGAGAACTGTGGGGGAGAGGGGGGGTAATTGGGATTCCGGTAACCTCACTTATACGACGAAAAACAATGCAAGCGTAATTTCACTTCGGATCACGTCGGACTTCACTTTATTCGATTTCAATTTTCGTCTAGAGTATCTACAAATGTACAAATTTAATACTTAATTATTCATCTCATTACGATTTAACTGTGCAGTTTTGACTGTAAACCTATTTTACTATCTATTATAAGTTTGAAATCGCCAACCCACATTGAGCAAGCGTGGTAATCAATGCTCAAAACTTCTGCGAAGAGGCCTTTGGTCAGCAGTGGCCACTTAGTTTGTGATATGGTGTGTAGGCTACATGAACATTTTTTTTTTTGAGGGGGGAAAATTATCCAGTGATTTCTCCCGCCCGGGTGAGGCGGGAGGGAGTGTCAGACTCTTACCGACCAAAAAACCACCCCGTTCCTACTCCTGCACTTCGAGCCGAAGCCTCGGCACAACCCGTTAAGTCTACTGCAGCTCCGTAGGCTACATGAACCTACGATTAAACCGAACAGGTTGATGGTGCGGTTAAAACTGCACAGTATATCGTAAGGTGTGTAGCGTGCATTATTTGACTTTTATGTCATCTGTTTAAAGACAGAAATTAAAATTCAAACTGAAACAAAAGAAAACATGCAGTCATTTAATGACGAATATTATCAACATCATCAGCACCAAGAAGACGTCCAAGTGGACCAAGGCCTGTAATGGTGAAATATAAATACATTAAAACACGTCTGGAGAGTATACATGCTTACTAATGAATAACAACACTGTCATGAAAAATATATTTTCTTTATCTACTGATTACTTGATAATCGTAGATTTCATCCAAGCTATTGATTAGGCTGTGTTCATCGAAATATTAGTAGTAGGTACGAAAAGATAAGTTGATAATTTAATGATAAATATATAATATTTTAACTATAGCCCTTTAGTCACTCATTTGGTACCGTTGGGCAACCATGGGTAAGTATTTTCTAGTATTTTTTTGTACAATGTCCTTATCAATACTGGAATTTACGCTTAATATTTATGGAATATAATTTTATGATGATATATCATCATAAAATTGATTAGTATGATCTATAGATCATACTAATCAGTTTTCTACTATTTGTATTGTCCTATTTTTCTTAGTTATGCTAACATTTAACCACAAGGTTCGTATTTTACTTAGGTACCGGATAATGCAGTGATTTTTATAATACAAATATCACTATCAAGGCCGTTTGAAAAACTACGTGCCATTAGTACACATTGAAATCACTTCTATTTAGACCTCAGTTCTTAATATTCTAGCATAGCCAGTAAATTTTCCATAAGATTAATTATATTCTAATATTAATGTCGTTGTTCAGGTACCAAAATGTTGGTTCCCGCTGTGCTTTGCGTTCTTCTGGGATTTGCTGCTGCCACTCCCTTAGAAGACTTTCGGTCAAATTTGGAGTTCCATGACTATTCGTCAAATGTTGCTGATCCAGCTTACCGTCTCCGTCCAAATGTGTACCCTACTGATGTCAAAGTAAATCTAGAGAATATAGACCTTGAAGGAGCTCGCTTCACAGGATCAGTGGAGATGATCGTTATTGTAAGTATTTTTTTTTTGTTTAAGCACAAAATTTTACCTTTTGCTTATATACGATGGCCAAGTTGTAAAATTACATTATTAAATTTCCAACTTAATGCTTTGTTATGCCTAAAGTCGAAAATACAATGAAAAAAATTACAGTTTGTAGTAGATGACCTACTACCTACTCTACTTACTACTACATATATTGAACTTTTAGTTTGTAGATTTATTCTTGATCACCAGTTTTATTATTATTATTACTAAAAATCTCGAATGTTTGTCGCTCGAATATTTTACTCAACTGTTGACATTGCGACTACTTTTGTGTGTTAATAGGCAAAATCTATTTAAAATTTATATTATTTTGGAATAATGTATATATATTATTAATTTACAATTTTCCTAATACGTCAATAATTATAATCAATCGAACTCGAATAATATATAACTTGTATAAATAAATCGATCTAAATTACCTTTGAAACTTACGACATAACATCATTAGTTATGTATAAAAGAAATAAGTAAAAAGTTATAAGTTAGAAATCGCCAACCCACATTGAGCAAGCGTGGTTATTAATGCTCAAACCTTCTCCGTGTGAGAAGAGGTTTTTCCCAGCAGTGGGCATTTAATGGCTATTGATGATCACGTATTATGTATTACAGTATGTTTTAGTCTAGCATTTTTACATTTCAATTAATTTTTTTATTTAACGGCCTTTCCGATTCGAATTTGTTGCGAAAAACATAAATTATATTATAATGATGTTCATTCCTTCACTTTTAATGATTATTCTTATTAATTGAAACTTAAAAAAATAAGTAGGTACATAAAACATTTTTATAGTTTTGTAAATGCCTTGTCATACACTCTGGTTGGCGAGTAGCCGACTGTCTAGAATCACATTTAGCATTCGTACGAGCATATTTTCCATTCGGTAGCGCCTCAAAAGTACTTCGCGCAGTGATTGTACATGGGCGACAACGCGCCGGTGCGTATAAAAGCATATTTTCGTCGTCCATGCAGTACGTACTACCCGTTCGGCCGCCGACAAAGCGGATGTGCCGACCAGCGGCGCGCACCTGGCGAATGCTTGCCGGGCACATTATGCCGTACGCGTGAAAGATACAGTACAGGGCCATACTCTATGCTGCCGTGTACCCGGCACTTTTTCCCCGATAAAAAGGAAAAGGCAATAAATGTGTGTAATACAATACGTTTTTCAAAGGACTCAGAAATAGTTTTAAATTATTTTAATCTATTTTTTATAATATCGATTAAGGTTATCCGATAAAAGGCTAGCTTCATTATTTTATCAATAATATTAATTTAATATTATCATATCGGTACACATAGACAATCAATCGTGACTTAGTGAAACAAATTTCGATGGCGGTCTTATCTTAATCCGTCTTGCATTAAAATGTAAAATAATTGATTACGTCGATTGAAATTTTTCGTACTTAATGTAGGTAATCAATTTTGTTTACACTGAATAAATGTAATAATGCCGCATTGATCGAGTGGCCACAAAAGCCACTACGGAGAATGAGGTCTAGGAATCGATTTCAAGGTCGGCAATGGTATCCTTCAAGTTTGTCAAATTGCACCTAAAGCAGCTAAAACATTTTTTCCAGGTAAGAGAAAACGATTTAGAGCAAATCTCCATGCACCAGAACAATCTCTTTGTCACCAGAGTTAATGTTGTTAACAACACAAATGGTGAAAATGTTCAACTGAGGTCCCCTGATCCCTTTACCTATGACAACTATTATGAACTCCTTCACCTTCATTTCCACCTACCCATCGTTGCCGGCTCTTACACCATTACTATCGACTACAGAGGCGTCATCAACACAAACCCTGTCGACAGAGGCTTCTACAGAGGTTACTATTACTACGAAAATACTCGCAGGTAAAAATTCAAACAACAATCTGTAGAAATACTAGTTATCAATTTATTGAATAATGTAGGTATTATGGAGTATGTAATAATAATTATGCATACATAAACATTTTTTTTTCTTTTTTGGCATAAACCGCTTAACGAGCAGACGGATCTCCTGATGGTAAGCATGGACACCTGGAACACCAGAAGCGTTACAACTGCGTTACCGGCCTTTTGGGGATTAGGAGATCTAATAAGTTTACATTCTTAAAATATTAGACTGAATATATGATTCGTTAATGTACATTTTAGGTACTACGCCACCACACAGTTCCAACCCTACCATGCCAGGAAAGCCTTCCCTTGTTTCGACGAGCCCCAGTTCAAGTCCCGTTACACAATTTCCATCACCCGCCCCGACACTCTTGGCCCGTCTTACTCCAACATGGCCATCAGTTCTACCGAAGTGTAAGTTCTATAATGTATATGTATTTTACTTTAACAAATTATTATTTGATTCTAATGTTTTTTGTACCTCCACAGTATCGGCAATAGCGTTCGCGAAACATTTTACCCAACTCCCATCATTTCTGCCTACCTAGTGGCTTTCCATGTTAGTGATTTCGTGCCCACTGTTTCTACATCTACCGCTCCTAGACCATTCAGTATTATCTCTCGCCGAGGAGCGACAGACCAACACGCATATGCTGCCGAAATCGGTGTGGAAATAACCAACCAGTTAGATGACTACCTTGGCATTGAGTACCATGACATGGGACAAGGGCAAATTATGAAGAACGATCATATTGCTCTGCCTGACTTCCCGTCTGGTGCTATGGAAAACTGGGGAATGGTTAACTACAGGTCAGTTATATTGTCTTGTACAAAACAGGTGTAGTGTGATAAAAATATGATGCTACAACTGTTTGTTTCACAAAATTGGAAAATATAACAAGTGATATATCATATTTCAATTAAAGTGCACACGAATGAAGTTTTCATTAAAATAACGTTGTAATTCTATTATGAAAACCAAACTTTTTTTACATCTGTGTGAAGTTTCTAGTTCAATAATTTATTTTTATTTTAGAGAGGCTTACCTTTTATACGACCCTGCTAACACCAACTTGGTCAACAAGATATTCATTGCAACCATCATGGCTCATGAACTGGGACACAAATGGTTCGGTAACCTGGTCACCTGTTTCTGGTGGAGCAACCTTTGGCTAAACGAATCTTTTGCTAGCTACTTCGAATACTTTGCTGCGCACTGGGTGAGTCTCATATTAATATAAAATACATATTATTACAATTTACTCATAATATTAACATAAAAATATTTACTTTGTTTCACTGCACAGTGCTTCATAAGTTACTGAAATCAATTAGATTTCACTACACATTTTTGTGCCTTATGGTTTTAAATGATATCGCTTATTTCTACTTTCTGTGATTTCAGGCTGATCCAAAACTTGAATTAGCTGATCAATTCATCGTTGACTACGTGCACAGTGCCCTCAATGCAGACGCGAGTCCCTCGGCTACTCCTATGAACTGGGAAGAGGTTGCAGACAATCCCACAATAACGCAACACTTTAGTACTACCAGCTACGCCAAGGGAGCTTCTGTTCTTAGAATGATGGAGCATTTTGTTGGACCAAGAACCTTCCGTAATGCGCTTAGACATTATTTGCGGGACAAGTATGTTTCATGAATTATAAAGTCTAGTTCTTGCACTCAATTCTGAAGATGTTTAGTCCAGAAACAATTAATTCTTGCTTTGAAACATCATGATAATCGATAAACATTTAAGAGCTTTGTCAATCTTGACCGTAGGATAAAATTGGCAGTTATTAATATGGAAGAATTGTTAATATTCAAACTTATTCCTCTGATAAAGAGCAATGTAAATTTTGCATTACCAAAAAATATTTCTAGTAGTGGCATTCTATTAGAGTTTTAGAGATAAAAACTGCCATTGGGAAAATAATATACAAAACAAAAACTACTAACTGTATCTACCTGATCAATTGAAACCCCGAAATATTACGAATTTTTTTCATTTATATATAAATGTATGTAAAATAACGGTCAGCAAAATAATACCAGCGATGCTTTACTATTTATCTCCGTTTGATTACGGTTGATAGAAATGGTTCATGCCAATAGTTTGCATTTGCCTTCACCTAACTGGCGTTGGAAAAATCGGCCCTAAGAATGTCATTCTTAACTATCTATCTAGAATGTGGTATATTTAGACCAATGTGAAAATACTTATTCAATATTAAAATTACGTATTTGAGTCGATATTGAAAAAAACGATGTTAAAACTGTAAATTTTTTTTAGCGCCTACGGCATCGGTAACCCATCCCTGATGTATCAAGCATTTAATAAGGCCATCGCTGAAGATCATACATTTTTAAGTGATTTCCCGAATATCAACTTTGGGAATGTATTCGACAGTTGGGTTCAAAACCGTGGTTCTCCAGTCGTGGAAGTCACTCGTAACCCAGAAACTGGTGTTATTGTTATTGAACAAGTAAGTTTTTTTAATCATCGTAACATCACGCCTTTTATCCGCGAAGGGGTAGGCAGAGGTACATATTACGGCACTTAATGTCACTGTATAATGTAACAACCACTTTTGACTATTTATGTTTAAGTAAGTATCAGTAACTTTTTCTAAATAAAAAAGAATGAAGATGTATGAACAAGTACACATGTAAAATAGTTTATTTCGATATAAGCATTCATTGCTGGTCTAAATGACCATAATAGCCCAATGTCCGAGTTACAAATAATTATGGCTACAGAGCACTAGTCATTCTCTGGTCTAGATAGTTTGGAATCACATACCCCTACATAGTCAAGAGAATTTGTCTTACGATTGACGAAAAAATCAATACAATTACTTGTTTGATCTTCATCTCTTGTCTTCGCAAGAGACGAACTCAATACGATATTCATACATTATTTTAACATTACTCCTTTTCTTTTAGAAAATATTGTTTATTAATAATTTTCTTACAGAAACGTTACCAACTTTCTGGAGAACCTCCCACCCAAACTTGGGAGATCCCCCTCAGTTGGACCGAGCAGAAACATTTAGACTTCAGCTCGACCAAACCCAGGCAATTGTTAAATGTAACGTCTACGGCTCTTCTAAGTGAGCCAGGAGACAACTTTGTCATATTTAACATTCAACAGTCTGGTACGTATTAGTCATTTACTCTGCCATAGTCAATTTTTTATGGGATAAGCCGGTAAACGAGCACACGGATCACCTGATGGTAAGCAATCGGCGTCGCCCATGGACACCTGGAACACCAGAGGCGTTACAAGTCTGTTACCGGAAAATCTTTCTTTAATTCTAATAAACAATAGAAATTTCATTAATGTTATATTTTTTATTTGATTATTTTTTTTTTACTTTTTGGTAAAAAGTTTATATTTCCGTCAGTGGCTACACTAACATGATTATCTTAAACTTTTATGATACATCTACGTTATAGGACTGTACCGTGTCAAATACGATGAAGACAACTGGAGAGCACTTTCATCGTACCTGAACAGCAACAACAGGGAACGAATTCACAAACTGAACAGAGCTCAGGTAATTTATAATTATTTTAATTTTTTTCTTTCTAATTGTCCAGACGCTAGCAGATCAACCTCCTTTCTGTCAATTTTCTTTATTTAATTTTCAACTTAATTGTTCTGATGTAAAGTCGAAAATCTAAAAATAATGATACATTAATTTTTTTCATTTCAACACAGGTTTCAAAAATGCAGCTTGAGTAAATGAAATAAATATATATTTTTTTCTGCAATTGACTTAAGATAGGTGATATTATTGTGTGATTTTTTTTAGATTGTCAATGATGTGCTGCACTTCATTCGTTCTGGGGATATCGACAGGACTCTTGGCTTCGAAGTTATTGATTTCTTAAGAAGCGAGACTGACTACTACGTATGGAACGGTGCTCTAACTCAGCTTGACTGGATCCGACGTCGGTTGGAGCACATGCCCAGAGCTCATGAAGCGTTCACTGTAAGTATTGTCAGACATTTTATTACATTACTCACCCTATAAACAGACAATATTTAACTACTTCCATTAGGAAACGTCGTCGTGAATAACGAATGAGGATTATCGTATATTAAGCACAAATAAAAAAAATACAAGCAATGAATGTCGTTTCAAAAATTTATTGATCAATGTAAAAAAAGAGATTAGATTTGAAATTCATATTCATAAATAAAATATTTAATAATTTTGCAGAGCTACTTACGTGGTCTTATGAACAATGTTATCAACCACCTTGGATACAACGAAGGCCCCAACGACTCTACTTCCACAATCCTGAACAGAATTCAGATCTTAAACTACGCCTGCAACATCGGGCACAGCGGTTGCGTTTCTGACAGTTTGCAGAAATGGAACGATTACAAAGAAAACAACGAACCGTTAGTCCTTAGTATTAATAGCAATAATATAAATAAATAATTAACGCTAATTTTGCTTATACTCATAGTTAAAAAAGTAAAGCATTGATTTGTTAATTATCTTAATCAGAAATAATGTAAATATATTAATGTCCGATGAATGTAACAATTCTTAGTTGGTATATTTGCAGTTTATATTAAAAGTATCATTTTTTAGGGTGCCTGTGAACCTTCGTCGCCATGTATATTGCACTGGTCTTCGTGAGGGTGATAGATCTGACTATGATTTCCTGTTCAATGCATACAATTCTTCAGAAAATGCTGCTGATATGGTGATCATGCTTCGAGCTCTTGCTTGCACCAAAGATCTTGATGCACTTGGACAGTAAGTACATATCATTTTACACTACTAGGTATATGAAACTGAAGATGAATGTACTAAATTGATATATATTACTAATATATGAAACTGAAGAGTTTGTTAACAATCTACTAGTTCTATCTCGAATTATAGTTCAATTATCGACGAATGCTAGAGGCTATAAAAATCACGCTACGGTTTATAAGAGCGTAGCATCAGGTGACCATTACATCTAAACAATTCATTGTAGTGCCTGTCCTATATAATATAGTTATATTATGTAGTTAGCATTGAGTCGTGGGGTAAAGGATTAATACGCCCGATTCTTAAACATGATAGTGGTTGGTTCGAAACCTACCCACGGAAAGTATCAATGTGATATTTTCCAAATCATATGTACTTTCTAAGATTATTTTGAAACCATTGACAAACGGTGAAGGAAAACATCATGAGAAAGCCTGGGTCTATAATTTTTAATTATACCTCTAATTTTGAACTCGCCAACCCGCATTGAGCAAGCGTGGTGATTTTAGTTCAAACGTTCTATGTGTGAGACGAGGCCTTTGGTCAGCAGTGGCCACTTATAGACTGTTGACGTGTTGATATACATAGTTTGCGTTCTTGATGTTTTCGTCATTAAATACCAGATGCAATAGAACACTTAGATCCTGTCCGTACCCCACGAAGATGATGATGATGATGATCACAATATAATATTTTACATTATAGTTATACTAGAATTACAAAGTATTCTTTCATTTTAGTTACTTGCAAGAGAGCATGTACAACGATAAGATTCGTATCCACGACCGTACAAACGCCTTCAGTTTCGCTTTGCAAGGAAACCTGGAAAATGTACAATTCGTTAGCCTCTTCCTTCAAAATAACTACGATACTATCAGAACTACGTAAGTAATTTATTCATACTATAATATAGGTACTATACATTTTTATGTATTTTTTATGGAATAAGCCGGTTAACGAGCAGATGGATTACCTTGATGGTAAGCTATCGGCGCCGCTCATGGACACCTAAAACACCAGAGGCGGAAAAAGTGCGTTACCGGTCTTTTGGGAATTAGGAATTTGAAGATTGTACAGGATTCATGGATTGGAGAGACTGGGGAGGGGGGGGGGCAATTGGGCTAATCTCCGGAACTATTGAATTCAATAATCCGTTTTGAGTTGAATAATCCATTGTTTTTACCCGACTGCCAAAGAAGGAGGGTAATGTTTTTCGAGTGTATGTAAGTATGTATGTATGTCTTTTCCTTTGTGACCACCTGTAGCCTAAACGGCTTGATGGATTTTGATGTATGAGGTATCGTTAGATTTGTCTTGATTACGGGAGTGTCATAGGATACATTTTATCCTAAAAGTCCCACGGGATAAAGACATAATAATATTTTTTCTAAATTTCCCTTTAAAAAAATATGTATGCGGTATCATTAGATTCATTTCAATCACGGGAGTAATTAATATAGGATACGTTTTTTCTCAAAATTCCCACGGGAACATGTTAATTCTGCGTCAACGCAAAGCAACTCATGCGTTAGCAAGCAAAAAGATAGGGCGTGGCCTGGCATGCGGCGCGCGGCGCGGTGCGGAGGGGGATATGCTCGAGTATACAGCCCGATTGCGGGCACACGCATGAGGGCACACGTCGTTGACGGTCGTCTCTAAATAGCGATTTTATTCGATATATCCCTATTTGTATATATCGAAATAAAAACAGCTAAAAAGTTATAAATAAAAAAATTATTATTAAAAAAACAAAATACCCGACTGCACACTAAAAAAAGAGTAAAACAAGCCCCACAATAATATTGATCAATCAAATGCTAAAAACTAATTATGTAATACCGTTTAAACAATACCTATATTAAAATACACTACAATATGTGTTCGTAATCGATAGTTAAATAAACAGAAACTTATTTTGAATACAAATTTACTGAATATAATTTATAAATGTTGATGGAATGCATCGCAGGCGGGGACCAACAGAGGCTTATTTATAGTCATTTCGGTTGTGCACCATTTAGCAGAATTTTCGTTGGTGGCGGTCAAGGTGGTCCCCGCCTGCGATGCTTTCCATCAACATTTATAAATTATATTCAGTAAATTTGTATTCAAAATAAGTTTCTGTTTATTTAACTATCGATTACGAACACATATTGTAGTGTATTTTAATATAGGTATTGTTTAAACGGTATTACATAATTAGTTTTTAGCATTTGATTGATCAATATTATTGTGGGGCTTGTTTTACTCTTTTTTTAGTGTGCAGTCGGGTATTTTGTTTTTTTAATAATAATTTTTTTATTTATAACTTTTTAGCTGTTTTTATTTCGATATATACAAATAGGGATATATCGAATAAAATCGCTATTTAGAGACGACCGTCAACGACGTGTGCCCTCATGCGTGTGCCCGCAATCGGGCTGTATACTCGAGCATATCCCCCTCCGCACCGCGCCGCGCGCCGCATGCCAGGCCACGCCCTATCTTTTTGCTTGCTAACGCATGAGTTGCTTTGCGTTGACGCAGAATTAACATGTTCCCGTGGGAATTTTGAGAAAAAACGTATCCTATATTAATTACTCCCGTGATTGAAATGAATCTAATGATACCGCATACATATTTTTTTAAAGGGAAATTTAGAAAAAATATTATTATGTCTTTATCCCGTGGGACTTTTAGGATAAAATGTATCCTATGACACTCCCGTAATCAAGACAAATCTAACGATACCTCATACATCAAAATCCATCAAGCCGTTTAGGCTACAGGTGGTCACAAAGGAAAAGACATACATACATACTTACATACACTCGAAAAACATTACCCTCCTTCTTTGGCAGTCGGGTAATAACTTAAATCCAAATACTCAAACGCCACTCAATTTGAAGTCGCTCTTTAGTTTAGAGCAAATTCTTTTTAAAATGACAGAGATTGCATGATATTTAAGTACAATGTAAAATTGAGTAGCCTTTCAATATTCGCGCATTAGTTTACAATTGGTTTCATGTAATTTACATCTTATGTTATATGTATAACAAGTTTTTGTCCTATTGATGTGTCAAATCGAAAAAAAAATTAAAATCAAATCTTAATGAAATAATATTTGGTATATAATATATAATGTTCTATATATATAAAAATGAAACCCGTTTCCCGTTGTCACGCCATAACTTGAGAACGGCTAGACCGATTTGGCAGATTTTTTTTTGTTGTATTTGTTATCGTCAGGAGAAGGTTCTTATGACAGAAAAAGTCTTAAAAATTCTACGGGAATAGGAAAGACGGGATTGCGCGGCGATCTTCGCAGGGAGAAGCTAGTATATATAATAATCTCTGTCACTTGTATATTAATCTTCTGTTTCAAAATTATTTAAACTGTGATTTGCATGTCCATGCAAGTTCCATGTAATAGAAGGTGAGCCTATTGCCATAAAATATACCGTGCACGATTCCAAACTCCATGCTACTACTGATTTAGACATCTGATTAGATACTGAAAAGAAAACTCAGTAACAATTAGCCCGACTCGGGAATCGAACCTGAGACCTATTGCCCGGCAGTCGATAATTAAGTTTAGTTTTTTTTTTGCAGTAGTTAATGTTAATTGTAATTTTCTTTTTTAGTTCCAGACGTGGGCCTATGGATCCCAAGTCGGCTTAGCCGGGTCGTTCAACGCCGCTGTGAATGTAGTCAACAGTGCCATGGCCAATCTAGACTGGGGTAGCAATAATGCGCTTGAAGTCTTCAATTTCGTTTCTGTTAGAAGCAGCTCCCCTACCATCTTCGCTTCATCACTCCTCATCCTCGCAGCTATGCTCATTCAGCTGTACCGTTAAATTATAATAAAATAATCTAACCAAATTTATACTAATAAATCATCTAATAACTTTCTTATGAGATTCCTGTGGAGTTATTAAATGCTGTCTAAATAATAAATGAAAAATTAAACTTTAGAAATAGTTTTCCACATTTACATGTTGTTTTTGTCTCGTACGTATTTAATTATAATAAAATATTTTTTGTACATAAATTTCTTAATCGTTGGTTTTATTTTTTAAATTTACAGTATACCCATTTTCTCAAGATTAACATAACATAACATAACATAACATAACATAACATAACATCACGCCTTTTATCCTCGAAGGGGTAGGCAGAGGTGCACACAGAAGTAGTGAAACAAGTGAATTTATTTCTGCAAATAGGCTACAACGCAGCACTTTTACACGTCAATTTTATCAAGCGAACAATGAGGTCGACCCTCGAGTAATACCCACTTTTCTCTTTTGATGTTATGAGTCCCATGTAATAGGGGGTGAGCCTATTACCATAATATACCGGGCACATTTGCAGACTCCGTGCTACTACTGAGATTTTTTTTAAAAACCCACTTACTTGTAACGCCTCTGGTGTTCCAGGTGTCCATGGGTGACGCCGATTGCTTACCATCAGGTGATCCGTCTGCTCGTTTACCGGCTTATGCCATAAAAAAACCAGTAATACTTTGCCCGACCCGGGAATCGAATCCGAGACCCCTTGCTCGCTCGCTATATCGAAACGCAAATTTTTATCCTGACCCTGTAAATTACTGACCTAAATGGTAGTTGCTATATAGATCATTTGGTTAACGAGGTAATCTAAAATTGTAAGGATGATGGCGAGTGGTCGCAAGTGCGACTGCTGCAGGGGTCCGGGGTTCAATACTCGGGACGGCCAAAGTATTACTGGGTTTTAAAAAATCCTCAGTGGTAGCACGGAGTCTGAAATTGTGTCCGGTGTATAGCAATAGGCTCATTCCCTATTACATGGGACTCATAACATAAAATAGTGAAAAGTGGGTGTTACATGGCATTGAGTGCCGTAATGTGCACCGCTTACCCTTTCGGGGATAAAAAGCGTGATGTTATGTTACGTTGGGGAACCACGCAAATTGGGGAAAACAAAAAAAAATGGTAGGTACTCAATATAAAAATGTCACACTTCAAGGTTGATTTGGTTGACTCAAGGTTGACTGATAAGACGGTCATCAAGCCTGATTACAATAATTAGTAAGTAGATACTTTCTGATAAAATACTTCTGGTTTTTTTATCAGATATTAATGTTTAACAATATGAAGTTAATGTTTAACAATCTGGATATGAGTTTTATGGAGCATATGTTTTCTTCATAATATGTCCCTTAGTTAATGATATTAATATGTTACATCCAAAAAATGGAACTTTCACATCTTATACAAGGTGTAGTTCTGAAACCGTAACATTTCTCGGGGGCATGTCACAGAAGTCATAAACGTTCAAAGTTAAAGAAAATTTCGGTCCAATAGGTAAAAATACGGCTACAATAAATCGTTTAAGTTCGTCAGTATTTCAGAATAAGCGACAGCAATGTTTCTAATTGGAGTGTTATGGAATTAGGAATAATATTAATTACGTGTTTGAGTTTGTGTGTGTTAAGCCGTGTTATAAAGCTAGTTACAAGACGGCGGCGTGTAGTTCGCACTTACGGATTTCAATAATTTACAGAAAAATGAAAAATATTTACCTATAATTTTTTTTATTGATTCGAACCCAGAATCGATAGCCGAGTTACCTCCTAGAAAATAATGCGGTTTTAAAACAACACCTTGTATATATAAAAATCAATCCCTTTTTTCCTTAGTCACGGCACCACGTTTGAATGTCTGGACCGCTTTCACTAATTCTTTATAGTCAGGAGAAGGTTCATAATACAGAAAAAAATCCTGAAAATCCCACGGAAACGGGAGAAAATGGGATTGCGCGTAGTAAGTCGTGGGCTAGTTTATATTACTAGCTCATAAGTAGGCGTGCTCCATCATCGGCTACATCATCGCTTACCTTCAGGCGAGATGGTGGTTAAATGTCGAAATATCAAGTATAAAAAAAAGTCTA